GGGCTTGTCTTTGTCATCCCTCCTGACCGATATGGAAGAGCGCCTAGAAGGAAGCTGAGGACCCAGAGGAGAATAAGGGGCATACTTTTGCTGCTCGTCAATTACTGTGGGTAGAAGTGGCTTTGATATGGATGAAGAGAATGCTTCAGGAGTGAATCTCCTTGTTAATGAGGAGGAAAGAAACGAGCTTCCAAATCTGGCCAATGATGGCGTTCCTAGCAGCCCAATACTTGGTGAATGTAAACTCCCCAGCATATCAATAGATTGCCTGCAATATCATTTTTATTTTTAAATTATACACTCCTCTTCTTCCATGTTCTTCCCGTTCTAGTCAAAATCATCAAGTTAGATCATTTTCAATAAAAATATCGAGTTCAACTCAGTTTTCTAGCATATCAAACAGCTCGATTAAAGTTTTCAAGTTAGTGTTTCGGTTTTAAGCACTTACATACTGATTTATAGACTACTTTCTTCGACATTTTAGTAAAAATCATCGATTGTTCTCACAAAAATTATGTATATAATAAATAAAGAAAGAAAGGAATAAATTTTCATATCTGTTTTTTTTTTTTTGAAGATAGAATGAAAAAGTGAAGGAAAGAGAAAAGGATGAAACTGTGTTTATGAAATTTATGAAAACAAATAATTATTTTCATTTTAAAATAATAAATATTGGATTTATATTTACAATTTATCCACTTTTTCAATAATTATTTTAGGTACGAAAAATCACTTTTGAAACTTGTGGCGGGTGTGATTCCTGAGTGGGGGACCTCTCCAGAATCATCAGGATAATATCCTCTACAAACCCTAAAAAGTTATTGATAATCAAAATTAATAATTCTTTTACCAGGAATGGTTCGCTTTAATTTCTCTCTCTTTTGATCTTGAGAAGAAAAGAAAAAAAAATATAGAAATTCAAAGCTGTTGATCTTGAGAAATTAATTTTTCGCAGAAAGTTTTTGAACGGATTATGTTTGTTCGATGATTTTTCAAGAAAAAAAATGAGAGAGAGAGGCAGAAGAAATGGAATGATCGGAAATACACAGAAAAAAGAGGTGAGAGGAAGAGAAAGCGAACCTGTAACTTTGAGGCCAAGCGGCGGCATTGTAAGAACTCGGTTGATTAATGTTACGGTTATCCACTGATGAACCGGAAGACTCCGATTCGTTTCCGTCGTCGATTTCCTTGTCAAAATCTTCGTCGTCAGAACTTTCGATGTAAAAACTACGGTCTGAAATGGAGTTCTTCATTTTCCAATAAAAGTTCTAATTCCTCCTCCTCCTCCTCCTCTTCTTTCCTTCCGTTCAACTGAGAATAAATTAATCCGAATCCACTGCACCAGATTCAAATCAGAGAGAAAACACGGAGAAAAAATGTTTCAGAGAAATAAATACAACGTTAATCGTTCTCCAGAAGCTTGAATCGCCAAACACGGAACGAAAAAAAAAAAATCAACGAAAACACCTAAATCAAGGCGCCAAATGCGTCCATCAAACCACGACCACCATACTTAAAGTAAATTTCACAAGCAGAAGCCATGAAATCCGCCTACAAGTGAGTATATACGTGAAGAACGATTGACATCAATTCAAAGTCGGAAGACTCTGTTTGGCTGCCGAGAAAATATTGGATACAGTAAATAGAAAACAGATAGAAATCCCCTGAACATCAAATCCAAAGTTCACATAACCAGAAAATTAACGAAAAACACATTCACATTAACATCCGATTTCCACACAGTTCATAACCCCTACACAAAGTTGAAGAACATAATCAAATCTCACCGTGAAGTTAAGCAACAAACTGAATCAATCCGGAGAGAGAGAGCACTAGCAGCTCTGTAGTAGATCTGTGGTCCTTTGTTCCTTCCAACAATTTATACAAAACACAGCTGCGATTCTTTCATGTTCCTGTCATCAACATTCTTCACAATCTCAAAAACATTTTAAATCAGTTGATGATGAAACTTTTTTCTATTTTCTTTTTCTCTTTCCTTTTTTGTGACAATTTTTTCTTAATTTAATTTTAGCTAAACGCCTAATCCTCATCCTTCAAATCTTGTTCATAACTATTTTTATTTTTTATTTTTTAAATTAAACACCAAACATATGATTTTATTTATTTCAACTCCTTTTTAATTAATTTGGAAAATAAAATAAAATAAAATAATATACCATCAAATATGTGCACAATCAATTTTAAATTACTGTTGGTAATTTTTTCTTTTTACTTATTGAAGTAAACACGTGTCAAAATCTTAGTTGAAACTAGTAAAAAGTTACAGTATTTTTCTTTTTCAATTACTATTTTTGTTGGTGAATAATAATAATAATAGCGAATAAATTATAAAATTATAAAATTATATTTTAAATTTTAATTTGAATTATTAATATTTATTAAAATTTGAACTAAAAAAAATATTATTTTTGAATTAATAAAGTATTTATATGTTTATAATATTAATAAATCGTGTATTTTTTTTCCATATTTGAAATATTATTTAATAAATATTTTATGGATTTTGTTGCGGATATTTATTAGGTAGAAATATATTAATTTATATCGACCTGGATGATATCATGAGCATTACTAAATAATTTTGACCTTAAACAGATCTTTACACGTCATTAATATCGATCTTTTAAGCCGACATACGCATAGTGCTACAAATCAAATATAATTGTTATATGGGATTGCGATAAGATGGCTCCGACGTTCCATTACAGCTAAGTTATTTACTTGTCTCGAAGCGTTTTTAAAAGCTGAAACTATTTTTATAGATCAATATGAGTTATTTCTGCTCTGAGATCCTAGATTGGTTTGGGAGGGAAACGAAACGTTCTTTATAGAACTGTGGAAACCTCTTCCTAGTAGGTACGTTTTAAAATTGTGAGACTGATGACGATATATAATGAGATAATATCTACTAGTGGTGGTCTCGGGCTGTTACAAATGGTATTAGAGTCAACCATTGGGTAGTGTGCTAGCGAGAACGCTGGACTCCAAAGGGGTGGAGGGGTGGACTGTGAGATCTTACATCGGTTGGAGTGGTGAATGAAATATTTCTTATAAAGGTGTGGAAACCTCTCCTAAAACTGTGAAGTTAAGGGCGATGCGTAACGGGCTAAAGTGGACAATATCTGCTAACGGTGGTCTTAGGCTGTTGAAAATGGTATCAAAGTCAGACACTGAGCGGTGTGCTAACGAGAACACAGGGCCTCCAAGGAGGGTAAACTGTGAGATTCCACATCGGCTGGAGAGGGGAACAAAACATTCCTTTGTAAGGTGTGAAAACCTCTCATAAAATCGTGAGGCTAACGGCGATGCGTAACGGGATAAAACGAACAATATCTGTCGGTGTACCAACGAAAACACTGAGTTCCCAAGGAGGGTAAATTGTGAGATTCCACATCGATTGGAGAGGGGAACGAAGCATTCTTATAAGGGTGTGGAAACCTCTCCTAAAACTGCGAAGCTTACAGCAATACAGCAATACGTAACAGTCTAAACAGACAATATCTACTAACGGTGGGCTCGAGCCAACACATGTTCTTTCAGCATGCATTGAATTATAGTTCCTACGACTAAGCCACGAAAAAGTAAGGTGTACCTTGTTAGTATCAATAATAATTTTGAATTCTTTCAAGTTTTTCTTAACCATCACATCTCGAGAATTACTCTCATTCAAATATAATCTCGGTTCATTTACATACCACTCATTTATCCAAAACGCCACACTGCAATCAACATCGACATCAACATCAACATTCTAACGATAATTTCACGAAATGAAGATCTCGACATTATCATCGACATCGACATTTTAAATCTTCTTCAGAGGCTATCACTATAACTAACGATTACCTTAGGTTGAAAAGGGTCGTTCGGGATTTTTTTTAAAAAAAAGAATAAATTTGTTTATAATTTTAGAATAAAAACAAAAATAATACAACTTGTGAAAAAGGTTGCAAACATTGCATATGGCATGGCCATGATGAACACTATTTTTTCTATCTTATTTGTCCTATACTCTAAAGCAATCATGCCCAATAATTTATTTAAACCAAAATATTAAAATAAAAATTTAACACCATATATTTGTTGATTCTACATTAATTCCATTTATTTATTTATTTTTTAACAAAAAAACGCCCACATGTTACAGAAATTCATTCACGTGCATACATTCTACGATCAATCATATCAATAAAATATAAACTAAAAATCACGGAATGTTGAAGTTAAATTACAATTTAGTCCCTGATCTTTTAAAATTGTCTATAGGTAAGTTTCTAATAATTTCGAAAAATTTAAAATTATTTAAATGATTTGATATAAATTTAAATTTTATGTCTAATGTATTCAATTTAATAGGTCCTTAAATTTTTTAAAAATTCAAAAATTTAAAGGCTAAATTTGTAATTTTAAAAGTTCGTAAGCTAAATTTACGAGAACCTTAAAGTTTACGAGAACCTGAAAAGATACGAGAGGAATAATTGATATCCACATTTGATTGTTCCTTAAATAATGGAACAATATAAATTATTTATTATGGATAAGTATGGAAGGGTTTTTGGCTTTGTTCTCCACCCTTTTGACAAACCTAGTAAGCTCCGATTCATCAAGGATTTGTCCATTCTTTTCTAATTTCAAATTTTTCATATGTTATAAATAAATAATAATAATTATTCAACGAGATCCCCATTTACATGATGAGTAGAGTACGTGTTAGTTATTGATGAGCTACACTCATTTTAGCAATTATTCTGAAACAAACCCGTGACTAAATAAATTTAGAGAAAAAAATGGCACTGAAACCATTTAAGATCCTATCCAAAATGACATCGGTTGAAGAGAGGAACGAAGCATTCTTATAAGGGTGTAGAAATTTCTCCCTAACAGACCGTTTTAGGCTAATGGTGATTAACGGCCTAAAACGGATAGATTTGAACTGTTACAGGATTGAAATAGATATTTAAAAAGGTCGATTAAAATAATAGAATAATAATCTAAATAAATTTAGTTGAAAAAAATGGCACTCAAACCATTTAAGATTCTATACAAAATTTGAGAGATAGGAGCAAGAACATCAAAAATGCCTATCCAAGATGAACTTAAAAAGGGCTCTGAACATAAATTTTCCTTTTGAATTCTCAGGCTGATTACATTCAGCAGGATCAAGATAAAGCCAGTATCGTCTTCTTTAATGCCTTTCTGGGCTGATGAGCAGAGAAATTGCAGTGTGTTTATCTACAGATTAAGAACAGGACGTTCACTATTATCCTCGGGAGTATTTTCGAAACAGAAGACGGGTCAGCTCGGCCAAACCGATTCACGAACTGTCGCGCAAAGTTGGAAAACTGAGTCCACTTTTTAGATGGCTGACTGAAGTTGGCCATGCCCATTTCAGAATGTTTGGACCTAAGATCTGACAATATTATCAACACGCTCGATGAGTTTACGAACCCAAACGAGTACCATATGGACAGATCACAGATGAGTCATCTTGTCACAACTTACATTATTTATAAGATATGACAAAGAAAGACTTAGAAAAAGTTGAGTTATTATAAAGTTTCCTTTGTCTAAGATGTGACGAGATAACTTTATAATAGCACAAACATGCAGAATGCAGAGAGCACATGGGAACATGTGAGTACAGACACACACACATATGCAGGCAAAAGGGATAAGAAGAAGAAGACACCAACCAAGGTCATATTTTTATAAGCACCGAGATTGAACGGGTGCTGGTAGCTTTGTCCAGACTTACGAGCCAACCATGCTGCACGTATTCCTTCGTAATACTGGTCGGAAGAAACACGATTTGCAGTCAGTAATCAGAGGGGGAAGGAATTCATGCTCATAAGTCCAAAATACAACTGTAGGAATCCATGTTATACCTCTATAGTTGTCATGTTTCGAATGATGAGGTAGACATGCCAGCCAAGAAGTGTTCCAAGAGTCGAGCTCAAGGAGATCATCATCACCGCGCAAATAACCTAAAACATAAAAGTTAAGTAAATCTTCTTCTCTGTAAAATTTGACCAGTGATGTTAGTTGTTGTAACAGCCTAAGCCCACCACTAACACCACTAACAGATATTGTCCATTTTTAGCTCGTTATGTATCACCATCAGTCTCACAGTTTTAAAACACGTCTACTAGGGAGAGGTTTCCACACCCATATTTCATTCCCCTCTCCAACCGATGTGAAATCTCACAATCCACCCCCTTGGGAGCCCATCGCCCGGCACACCGCTCGATGTTTGGCTTTGATACCATTTGTAACAGCTCAAATTCACCGCTAGCATATATTGTCCGGTTTTAACCCATTACGTACCGCTGTTAGTCTCACAATTTTAAAACGCATCTGCTATGGAGAGGTTTCCACATCCTTATAAGAAATGCTCGTTCCCCTCTCCAACCGATGTAGGATCTCACAGTCGTATACGGATATATGCCAGTCAAAATTTCTCTACAAACCTCATGGTTATATCAGTAGCATCGAGTATGGTAAAGTTGAAGTTAGGTTGGTTAAAGCACGGGTTATTTAAGAAAAATAAAATAGTCAATTAGGCGAGGTCCAAAATCGATGACCCAGAAGACTCTAGACTAATCTCAGTTAATGAAAACAGATATAGGTTATATAAACAACTAACTTACATAGAAAATTTTTAAAGGAAGCGCTCCCTCAACATTCCAGTTCTTCTGAAATGCACAGCTCACAATGATGAACTACACAACCAAAGCTCAAGTTATAAGCAAAAATTTAGATTCATTGTTAAATGAAATAAATTAAACTGGAAAGGGCGTACCGTGGAATACAAGCTTGCCAGTGTCCCGTATGAGACGAGGTCGAAAAAGGACTTGTAGTTCCAATAACCGACACAGTTATTTATCCACAAACAATGATGATCCTGCATCCAGTTTAAGCTCACATGAAAAGGAAGAATAAACCACAAGCATTCAGCTTATCCATATCCGAAATTAAAGGTCCGAGTTCAATCGTTATGCTTCAGGTACAATGGAACCTACCATCCTCAAAACACACCTTCTGCAAACTCGACAATGATGAGCCCTCGGAGGCTTGAAGGTGCTACACTTTTCACAATGCTTAATCTGTAAAGCCTGTTATTAAATCATGACTTGGTATCAATGACTAAAACACAATACAGAGTATGCAATTGAATTAATTTCTTATTTGCTTCATCAAAAAATGCCTAACATGGAGAAAGATCATTTGCGACAAAATTCCAGTTCATAAAGTTGCCAATGGATTCTAGTTCCAGATTTACTCAACGGAATAGTACCTTGAGCAACATAAAAGAGGGGGATTGTGTGAGATCTCACATTGGTTGGAAAGGGGAACGAAGCATTCTTTATAAAGGTATGGAAACCTCTACTTAGTAGACGCATTTTAAAAACTTTGAGAGGAACCCCGAAAAGGAAAGCCTAAAAAGGACAATATCTGCTAGCGGTGGGCTTGGGCTGTTACAAATTGGGATAGCCATTATAATCAGCCTAGATTGAGGGGTATATTGACAACATGTTAGTGACAAACCAGTCGCGTACTTGAGTTTCAAAACTATATGAACATTTTTGGATAAGCCGATGTATTTCCTTGTTCACCATTGCATTCGAGGATATAGGATCAAAAAGTTCACGAATAGGACAGGATAAGACTTTTCCATATGATTTCTCTGCCATTGAATAACCGTTCAATCACTATAGGTTCACTGCTTCCATAAAAACTTTGGAATGAGATCACACTAATGCGCGCAGTTATTAATCAGTGATTCAGCAATCAGCTACAGTTGAATGTTTAGCTGCATAGTATTATAATTTATCTGACGTGCTTTACAATCTCGAACGACGTTTCTCAAGATTGTGACTCGAGCATTATGATACTATAAAGTAGTGCAATATCTTCAGCTTGAATGATACGGCTAAGATGTAAAAACATTTATATGGAAAATGAAATTACATATCTTTTCAGCAACAGACGTACTAAGGAGCTAAATTAACAGAGGCCTATGGAATCTTCTTTGAGATCAGTGTATGACAAAATAAATTGTTAATCAAATAAAATTGAGGACAAAAATTGGGAGATCCCACGTCGGTGGGAGAGGAAAACGAAACATTTCTTATAAGGGTGTAAAAGTCTCTCTCTAGTAGACACATTTTAAAAACTTCGAGGGGAAATTCAGAAGGGAAAACCCAAAGAGGATAATATATGCTATCGGTGGGATTGGGCTGTTACGAATGATATCAAAGCCAAATACTCAATGGTGTGCCAACGAGGACGCTGGTCCCCAAGAGGGGTGGATTGTGAGATCCCACATCGGTTGTAGAGGAGAACGAAACATTCCTTATAAGGGTGTGGAAATCTCTCCCTAATAAACGCATTTTAAGAACCTTGAGAGGAAACCCATAAGAAAAAACCTAAAGAGGACAATATTTGCTAGCGGTGGGCTTGGGCTCTTACAAAGATCCTTTGTTGGCATTTTGGTGGCCGTCCCGTCCCGTCCCACTTTAAATATATAGAAAAACCAAATCGAAACAAAAAAGAAAACCTGATGAAATTGATTCTTTGATATCAATCCATCTAATTGAACTCCAATACCCCATAGGTCTAAATCGAAACAACAAACAAAACCTGATGAAATTGATTAACATCCGCTAACAAATAGAGTTAATAAGAATTCTTCCCTGAAAAATAGTGATATCAATCCATCTAATTGAACTCCAATAACCCATAGTACAATTAAGTCTTGTTCCTCCTTGAAACTACACTAATATCACCTAATGCTCAAAATCCACAAGCAATCCGAACTGTTCTGACAATCAAATTCAATTAGTTCATAAATGGACCCTAAAGAAACGCCTTAAAACTACACTAATATCACCTAAGGCTCAAAATCCACAAGCAATCCAAACTGTTCCGACAATCAAATTCAATTAGTTCATAAATGAACCCTAAAAAATTCCATCTCCAAACACAAAGCATCATCTCTAAATAGAAACCTCAAATCCACGGCATAAAAATCAGAGAAAATAAAGGAATCCAGATCGTAGTTCCAAAATTGTACATATATGAATTGAATTAGAAACTTACGGAATTTCCAGAATCTTGATCCGAACCGGCACGCTCTTCAACATCGGGACAATAGGAAGAAGGAACGGGGCCCGGGTCGGTGAAAACACAAACAGCGAAAGAGAAAAGGCAGAGGGAAGCCATGGAAGTGAAAATCAAAGAGTTAAACAGACCAGGAGAGGTAAACAAACCAGTCCAATTCTCGATGAAAATGAACACCGTAATGTAATACACAAAAGCCATCAACAACAACACAGAAAAGACGGGAATTGATATGAATCTCTTCATTTTCACCTGGGATTCGAGCAGAGTAAGAGGGAAAACAGAGCGAGCTTGGGAATTCCAGGATTTTAGCTGCCCGGGAAATTTGGTCAACCGGGCTATTTTAATGTCCATAAATGGGCCGGGTTTGGGCTTCAAAAAAGCTGGTCCACCAAAGAACTGGCCCAACTTCGCGTTCTATTCAGTTTCGTTTCAGTCACTCGGCCCATGGGCTTTTATTTGGTCATGTTTCTATTTAAAACATAAATAACAATATTAGTAATTATATTTTTTTTAAATAAACAAATAAACGGTTATAATTATTTTATTAAAAAAAAGAACACAAAACAAAAAATTTAATTTTTTTGTTTAAAATTTTTACATAAATTTAAAAAATATGAAACAAAAAAATACAAATTATTTGTAATTAAAATTTTAATATGTTAGTTATTTAAAATATATAATATTTTATTTTACGTGAACGAAAACATTACTCTTCTAATTAAAATATATATTATCAACTAATAATCAATTCGTGAGTTTAATATCAAGCGAGTTTACTCAACAACTAAATATTTTAGGACCAAACAATTGTCGTGAGAATAGTCAAGGTGCATATAAACGAACTTGAACACTCTCGAATATATAAACGAAAAAAAAATACATATCATAATTTTAAACGTCGCCCAACATTAAATTGTATTAAAAAATTAAATTTTGAAAAAGCAAAAGAAAAAAAAACATAAATTGACCTGTCGAATTATGGTGTACCCATGTTTTTATTTTTATTTTTTTTTTTTTTTTTTTTTTTTGTCTTTTTCACATATTATTGTCCTCTACAAAGCTGTCTCCTAGCTGACTTGAGACTGACATGTATCTTTCAAATGTTTTTTCACACTAAAAAAGGTAACAAAATTTCACCCATCTTTTTTCATTTCCAATTAAATCCACACTTTTTTTTTTAAATTTATTTCTTTTACTTAATTATTATTAATTACAAAAAAAAAAAAAAAAATTCGATCTAAAAAAATTAAGCACGAATTCAAGAAGCTGATCAATGGGCCAAAGTTCGATCTAAAAAAATTAACAAGCTAGATGTCGATCCAAAGAGATAAACAATAAGGCAGAAGGTACCGAAGGAGATCAACAAGCCAAGAGCTTATCTAATAATATCAACAAACTAAGCTAGGGAACGATCCAAAAATAACATGTCCAAGGTAGAACAACGAGCTACAGGTCGACCCGTGTTATACTTTATTTCTTCACCGTTTTTTTTTTTTTTTTTGTGTTGGAATAGTGACTGAAATCTCGAGTTTTGAAATGGTAAGAGATGTTTTATATGCGGGCACGACAATTGAGAGGATTTCTAAAAATTGAAAAATTAGGGTTCCAAAAAGGGAGAAAAATAAATATAGAAATATACACATAAATGGTAGAAAATTATTAAAGATGGAAAATAAATATGTTACTTTGAAGTGGGCAGAGATAGTATTTATATGTAGGGTTTTTTGAGGACCCAATTTGTGGGGCACAGCCGATGTGGGACAGCAACACCAGTACGGAAGACTCAAAACAGCCTTGAATTCGTGTGTCGTTTGGTTTTGGGTTTTCATTTTCATGCCCTATCTCTTCCAATTGCCAATCCTCAATCAATTATCTGCAACATTCAAACCCTAAAATTGTACGAGAAGATTCATATCACTCATTCAATCTCTCTCTCTAGACCCACAAAAAGAACAAGGAGAGAGAGAAACAAAAAACCCTTTTTGTTTTTCTTTCGATTATGTTTTCGATGAATCCCGTCTTGCTCTTGTTCGATCTTCTATCTCTGGTTTGTCGGCTGATAAGATCTTTGAGATTGATCGACGTTTGTAGACGTCCGGTTGATTGAAATTCAAAGACTTGGAAGCTTGCTTACAAGTTATGAGTAACTGGGTTGAAATGAAACGATGAATAAAAGAAAACCCAGATGAGATTTAGAAATTTTCCCTTGAAATTGCTTAAATTGTTGTTTCGACAACACTGAAAGGTCTCCTGTTCGACCCTTTGTCTCCAAGATAATATCTTTGAGATTGACCAGCTTTTGTTTGTACTCATGGATTGAATCTCAAGGAGTCAAAATCTTGCCTACAACATGAATCGAGTGGCGTGAAAATTCACAAGTAACTAAAACAACTCCTGTTCGACCATGGTAACCGAAACGAAATGAAACAATGAAAAAAAAAAGACAACCCAGTTGAGATTTAGAAATTTTCTCTCGAATTTGCCTAAATTGTTATTTCGACAACACTGAAAGGTCTCCTGTTCGACCTTTTGTCTCCCGAATAAGATATTTGAGATTGACAGGCTTTTATTTGTGCTTGATGGATTGAATTTCAGGGAGTCAAAATCTTGCCTACAACATGAATCAAGTGGCTTGAAATTCACGATTCGACCCAAGTAATCGAGACGAAATGAAACAATGAAAAAAAAAAAAACAACCCAATTGAGATTTTAAAGTTTTCTCTCGAATTCATCTAAATTGTTGCTTCAATAACGCTAAAGAATCAAACTTTATCCTCTTTTAATAAATATTAAGTGACCCGCCCTCAATGAAACCTGAAAATTGGGTTAATTTGACCTTCCAACTCGAAAAAACCCTAAAAACATTTGGGTTTTGAGATCGAAATCTCAAGACCCATCAACACAAATCAAGAAAGAAAACCGCCATGGATGAAGATTAGAGGTTTGAATTGAAAAATGAAGAACATAACTAACCTTTATGAGTATGATATTGTTGAGATCCCAAGATATATACATATACATATATACATATATATATATAGCCATTGAAGCTATTGCTAATGCAGCATCATCAAGATTCTCAACCAAACAAGCTTCAAAAAAAACATGAACTCTCAAAAATCATTGTGAATCTTGATGATGCCGCACAAGCAAATTATGGCTGTGATTGAGTTCTTGATGAACAAGAACAAGAACAGGAGAGAGAATAAGAACAAGAGAGAGAAATGGAAAGAAAGGAGTGAGAATGAGTGGAAAGATGGAAGATTTAAGGTGGATATATATACACGAGGGCTCAAAGACAAGGAGCTTCCTAGATTACTTTCCACCTCCCCTTTGCCACTTAGCTCGGGGCCACCTTACGTATTCTCTCGACTCCGACCATAGCTCAATCAGCTCAACGACACACTCTACGTTTTCGTAATGGTATGATATTATCTGGGTCAATGTAGGGTTTGCTTTTAATTTCACCCACGTTGAAAAAATCCGATTTTAAGCACGAGATCAATTGAGTCAGTGCTCGTATAAGACCTTAGATCTTCACATTTCTATATTTGATTTGATATCTTCCACTCTCAGTACGTGTCCTAGTGGGTCTTATGCTTTTTTCTCTTATTCAAGAGGCCGAGTCTCATACCAATTGAATCAGTAGACTTTGGTTGACCAGATCTCACTGTTTTCATCTTTAAAAAATTCGCACGTTTACATTCTCATCTCTCATTTTTTGTGCTATGTTCGAGAAGAAAACTTCCAAAATTTTTAATCCGAACATAATTTAGTCGATAATTCATCAATTAATATCTCAAAGGTTGATACTCGAGCTCTCGCCCCAAACAAACAAAAAACCCTAAATTATTTAGACCACTTAAACAATGTAACGTCAATTAGTGTCTATTAAATTACTTAATCAAGGTTAAGCCAAAATGGTCCATCGTTTAAGGATAATGATGTATTAAAATTTAGAGACGTTAATAAGTTAATAAACAAATAATTAAATAATTTTTCTATAAAAAAATAATTGATTCTTTCAATGAATTCGGCTGGCTGTTACATTTTTATTGATTAAATTAAGAAAATAATAAATAAATGGTAGTATTGTAATTAAGTTGGAAAGTAAGGGTATAGTATAACTCATATACTAATTAATATATATATATATACTAATTTAGTTTGGCTGTCCTTGTCGTTTAAAATTAAAAATACCATGTAATAATTATAACCATTTATTTTTATTCTTTTTCTTTTTCTTTTTCTCTCTCTCGTTTCATTAAATTTAATTGGTTAAAATGTTTCGGTTCTAAATTTTAAGAATATATAAAAAAATTAATGACCTTAACGATCAACCTAATCCAACCTTTGATTTGGTTCAGTTTAGATAAATAAAAATTTTATGAATTCCATGACCTAACTCGATTTTATTATTAATTTAAAAAATTATTTAAACGATACAAATATACGTATATAATTTATTTTATTTCATAATCATATTTTTAAGTATTTTTAAAACTATTTGAAAAGTAATTTTTAAATAAAATTTTAAATTTTAATTAAAAATTTAAAAATATATAAATAGATATTTTATTCGATTAAATCAACCCAGCCCAAAAAATTTAGAGTAAAAATACAATTTAGACGGTAATATTTGAATTGTGCCAGTTGTTTATTTAAATTAATATATATTTTTAAAGTCGAAAAGATTATATTAAATAAATATATAAAATTAGAAAGGGGGTTAATTAATTAATTAATTAATTAATTAATTAAAAAAATGAGTGGAAAGTAGTAATAATAATAAGGGTGAAGAAAAAAATAAAGATTCAGAAAAAGTAATTAATGAAATATTCCAAAACTGATGAGGCAATGTGATTGGTGCAGCCCTTGTGGGCCCCACTAATAATGCTACATATTCTTCTCTCTGTCTCCACACAAATGAATTGTACTCTCTGTCACTCGCACCATAATTTCATTTTTATTTATTAAATATTTCATTTATACATCTAAATTGTACAATATACTTTTTATTTATATATATATATATATATATATATATATATATATATAAATATCGATATCCATCGAGGTCATGATACGAAAAAAAAAGGCCCTAATCACGTGTCATTGCACGGGAAAAATATCGGCAACAATAGAAATGAAGGGGTATGTGCAGCTGTTGTGTCAACCCCAACCCTTCTTATTTGATCGAGCAAGCGTAAAATTATTAGCAGCTATAATACAAACAAAATGTCATCTCGTTTTTTCTTTTTAACAACATCTACATTATTTTTCAAATAATTAACTTTCTTTATCG